CAGATCAAATGGTTTCTAAGGCCCCTGTTGCGTTTTCATGCTGTGATTTATAATGTGGGACCCAGTTCTCAACAGCAGAGGGCACCCTGCTCCCAGTGGACTAACCTGGCCATTAGCATTGGAAGCAGTCTAGTTATATAGTCGAAAGTTGATATTTTTGATGATCGGAAGGAGCCAAGTAAATTCTATAAATTAATATTTTGGAAAAGATATCTCACTGCATGTTTCCATCTGTTCAGTATTTAGATGAAGCACTCAGAAAAAAGGATGTTTTGACATTCCAAGGATTCTTCGTGTAATTCTGTAAAGAGCTTTATCATCTCTCTCTACTTCATTTATTCCGTCTAAGGACTCCATGGAATCCCTGGTGGTATAGTGGTTAAGAGCTTGGCTGCTAACCAAAAGGTTGGCAGTTCGAATCCACTAGGCGTTCCTTGGAAGCTCTATGGGGCAGTTCTACCCTGTCCTGTAGGGTTGCTATGAGTCAGAATCTACTCAACTGCAATGGGTTTGGTTTTTTTGTTTTTGGGAAGTACTCTATGGAGCCCTGGTGGCGTTGTGGTTAAGAGTTCAGCTGCTAACCAAAAGGCTGGCAGTTCGAAATTCACCAGCTGCTCTTGGAAACCCTATGGAGCAGTTCTACTCTGTTTTATAGGGTCGCTATGGATCGGAATTGATTTAACAGCAACAGATTTGGCTTTGGTTTTAAATACTCCATGCTTAAACAATACCACCCAAATAAGTACTCCATGCTTGAACAACAACACCAAAAAAAAAAAAAAAAATTGCTGATGAGTTGACTTTGACTCATGGCTACCCTATGCATGTCAGAGTAGAACTGTGCTCCATAGGGTTTTCATTGTCCAACTTTTCAGAAGTAGATCTCCAGGTCTTTCTTCCAAGGTGCTTCTGGATAGACTAACCTCCAGCCTTTTGGTTAGCAGCTAAGCGTGTTATTCTGCACCACCCAGAGACTCCTACAGGTGCAAATTATTGTTGTTAGCAGCTGTTGAGTTGGGCTCTGGGTCATGGTGACCTCATGTACAACAGGATTGGACTGTTGTGATCCATAGGGTTTTCATTGGCTGATTTGTTGGAAGTAGATCACCAGGTCTTTTTTCCTACTCTGTATTAGTCTGGAAGCTCCACTGAAACCTGTTCAGCATCATAGCAACACCCAAGCCTCCGTTAGCAGAGGAGTGGTGGCTTTTCTTAAGGTTCATTGGCTGGTAATCAAACCTGGGTCTCCTGCTTGGAAGGTGAGAATTTTACCACTGAACCCCTGCTGCCCCTTACATATACATACTGATATTTTCAAATTTGAAAACTTTAGACTGAATTATTGAAATGTTTTTTTCTGTAGGCTGCTTTTAAAGGTACAGCAATATCTCATTTTACAGGGATGCTAGACTCTGACGTCAGTGGGTAAGGTGAAAATCACTGGCCGAGTCCCATATGAAAGCACCTTGTTACAGAGCCATGTACCTCTTTTCACTAAGTCTCACACAGCCAGTCTTTCCCCGCTAATTGAAACAGATAGTGGTTTCTTCTATTGAGCTTCAGATGATACAGTTTGATTTTATTTGGGGACCACGTTTGGTGGTAATTTAAATCTTTAAATATCAGAGTCTTACTCAGCATGGTGAGATGCTCACAGCATTAAAGGTATTCAGAACCAAAACCAAGAGAAGAAATGGCAGGTTTATGTCTCATTTGAGGGCGTATACTAAATCAGTGGTTCTCTAGCTTTAGTCATTCATCAGAATCATCTGGAGGGCTTGTTAAAACACAGATTACTGAGTGCCACCCCTACAGTTTTTGATTCAGTAGGTCTGGGAAGAAGTCAGAGAATTTGCATTTCTAACAAGTTCTCAGGTGATGCTAGTGCTGCTGGTCTGGGGCCCTCACAAGGAGAACCACTGTATTGAATGGAAGCAGATGGGATCACTTGCCCACCTCCCCTTCACTGTCTGTCTGTCTCTCATTGCACTTTTATTTTTAGGCTGGATGGGTATAGTTGACTTAGTGTAAGTTAAATAAATGCAGGAGCTGTGGCTCAGCCACTTCTTTGTCCCATTGCTTAGCTCAGTACTTGGCCCAGACCAGAAGTTCAATAGATGCTTGTTGAATGAGTAATTGACTGAATTAACCGTATGTAATTGGAGGAGTTTATATCAGATGGAAATCATTATTGTATACCTGCTGCATACAAACTGCTTATTTTCCTGCAAGGTAGGTAGTTTTTAGATAAGAATAGTTTATATTTTAGGACTATCTACAGTGATTATCAGAGACATCAGGAAGTATGCACTTAGATGCAGTTTTGAGAATCTTGTACTTTGGGACCTGCGGTGTGAATGTGAAGTGTCTGTGTGTGTGTGTAGGCAAGTGTGTGTGTGAACTGACTGCACATGGAATTCTATCTGTTTTAGAATAGCCTCGGGAAGTCTTGCAGGGTTCTGTTTTATGGCAGAACCAACACCTGCCCTGAGAGCCTGGTGCAGCACTGGATCAGCCTGTCCCTTCAAAGCGCTGGGGACTCCTGTCCCTTCAAAGCCCTGGGGAATTCAGCCTCCATGACCCTAAAGGCTCAGTGGGGCTCCATAGTGTGGGGTAACTCCGTCAATTCAAATAGTTGTACATGAATCTTACCGTGTTATAAGATTTGATAATTATGTTTTAAATGGTGAGTTTATTAAGGGGAGGATAAAAATCTCAAAAAAAATATACTTTAAGTTCAATTTAGGGTTAAAATTATCGTGTGATTTTATCATTTTTTTTTGACTTGTATGTTATCTGACCTTGCAAAGTCTCACTGTTCTTGTGTGTTTGTGTGTTTTGTCTCTTTTCATATAGATTAAATGTTTCTTGTTTTAAATTCAGTTTACTTTTTTATTTTATTTTCTTATTGTGGTAAGTGTATATGTAACAAAACATTTTCGATTTCAACGTGTTCTTACTTGTACAGTTCAGTGGCATTAATTATTTTCATCATGGTATGCAATCATCACCACTATCTGCTTCCAAAAATTTCTACTACCCTTTACTTTTTTATGCTATTTTCAAGTAAATTATAGACAGCATGACATTCTATCTCTAAACGCTTCAGTGTCCAGCTGTAAAAATTAAAAACATTTTCTTACGTAGCTAAAATAACATGATCACACCTAACAAAAGTAACAATAAGTCTGTAGTATCATCTAATACCCAGTCCATATTCAAATTAACTCAATTGTCCCTTACACCTTGTTTGTTCAAACCAGAATCCAGTCTAGGATCATGCGTGTCATCTTGTTACTGTGTTCCTTAAGACTGATTTAATCTAAACCCTTTTTTCATGACATTGCCTTGCCATTGTCTTCATTAGTATGCCACCTTTGGGATTTGTCTGATTGCTTCTTTAGAGTGTCTTTAACTTGTTCTTCTTGTATTTCCTGGAAGCTAGACATTAGATCTAAAGATTGAATTAGATACAAATTGAACGTTTTTGGCAAGAATAGTTACACATGATGTAAGCTTCATGTAGCACATGAGGAGATACATAATCCCTGCCTGCCCCACCATTAGTAATGCTAACATTGATCACTAGATGAAGGTGATAACAGCCTGATCTTTCCACTGTAAAGTTACATTTCCCTTTGTGACAAGAGAGTATTATGTATTTTACAGAATATCTGTATCACTTTGGTACCATATGAGTGTCCATTTCCCTATTATCCATTCTCCTAATACTTTTAACACCAATTGATAATTCTTGCCCCAATCAGTAACTTCATTAGGCATTACCAAGCTATCATTTTTCTAGTTCTGTCATTTTTCTTCATTTATTGGCTGATATTCAATTAAACAGAGCTCTTCCTAATCAGCTGGGACTGTTTAGCACCCTGAAATACAGTTGTGTTGGAAAAGTAAGTTAAGTGTTGTGTTCTTTGCTTTTTTAATTTTAATCCAAAGTTTCAAAGTAAGGACTTGGTTTAATAACTACCTTAAATGGTGGCAAATTAATTTTTTTCTTGCTTTCTCTTGTTTGATATAATTAGGAACTAATGGATTTTCATGAATTGAGTGTTTCAGTCAACTGCAATCATTATTCTTTTTACATTCAAATTGTTAAAACTGGCCAGTGATAGTCTCTTGAAGTTGGCTTCTATGTCTGTTAGACATAATTTCATTAATGATTGAACACTTCCTTGCTTCCTAGCACAGAATCTTGTAGCTTCTTTGTCCCACATGTCAATCAGCCACTTCACTCACAAGCCTTGGTTCCTTTTAGTGGGTATTAGACACCAAAATGCTGGCACTTGGAATGTCTGTTGTTACTGGCTAAGGTGACAGTGTTTTCAGTGTTGTCTTTAGTTCTTGAAGTTTGATGTTGAACATCTGGATAATAATTGAAATACAAAGGATATCTTTGTTATTTCCAATTCAATTTTAACATTAAAAAAAAGCAAACC